CCGCAGCGAGCCACTCAGGGCTTAGTCCCGCTGGGTCACCCCCACCCCAATTCACTGGGCCAGGAGGCGGGCGAATCCCTGCAGCCAGGGGATCGAAACCTGGAAAGGAGCAGCAGTAGCCGAAGCCCCAGGGGGAAGGACAGGTCCGTCAGGTAGATACCAGAGAAGCAGATACCCTAGTGCTAGAGGCAGGAGGACTGAGCAGGAAGAGCCGGCGCTCCCAGTGCAAGCGCAGAATAGTACCTGGGATTAGGGGATAGTGCGTGCGACCCGAGCACGGCGATGGAGGGGTCACTTCTTCAGGAAGGACAGGCAGGGGCCCCAAAAGAGGAGGTCTCTAAGGGAGATGTCCGCGTGCTCAGAGGTGCGGTATGAAGCAGAAGGGAGGCCTGCTGGAAGCCTCTGGGTACAGACCAGAGCGGGGTGTCGCGGGGGCCCGTGCCCGGCCACACAACCAGGAGGAGGAGGGGGATGAGGCCTTCTTGAAGCAACTATTGGAAACTTCCAAACGGCAGGACCTGGGTCTCACGGGGGACTTGAATTATCAGGACATTTGCCGCGGGGGGAAGCCCAGCAGACCACTAGCAATGCAGCACGTTCCCGGAGCGTGCAGGGGATCGCTTTCTGGAGACCGACGAGGCGGAGCTCACCGACAGGTGAACGTGCCGGGGGAAGGTAACGTGGGTGACAGCCATCACGAAGCGCTCCAGATCTCGATGGCCAGGGAAGCAAGGAAGGAGAGCGGCAGAAAAAAAGACACCGGACTTTGGGAAAGCAGGCTAGCAAACTCAGGATCCCCTGGGAGGCAAGTCGGAGGGAGAAAGCAATGCAGGAGAGCTGTATTAAGGAGCAAGCCTTCCCGAGGAGACGGAAGAGTGGGCAACGAAACGGGAGAGCAGCCTGGCTGGGCAGCCATCGCTTCAATGAGCTGAGACTCGAAAGGAGGAAGGAAGCCAAGTGGAAACGTGGTCAGAGCACCGGGGCCGAGTGCAAGAGCACCGCGCGGGTGGGCATGCAGGGAGACACCTGGGAGGGACACGGCCCGATCCGAGATGCAGCCGGGCAAGGGACATAAAAGGCAATTAAAAGGGAACCTACAAGATGGGAGGTAAAAGGAAGACCAAGGAAAGCGTAGCTAAATGCAGAGGAGGCGGAAGTATTTAATGCCTTCTTTTTCACTTCAGTCTTTATGAATGAGGTCAGCCACCAGATGATGAGTGCAGTTGGCAGCAAGGGTAGAGAAGGAGACAACTAGCCTGGAGGAGTGAAAGAACAGGGCAGGGATTACTTTCTAGATGCTTTCAAGTCAGCAGGGCTGGACGGGAGGCACCCTGGGGTGCTGGAGGAACTAGCTGAGAATTGCCTCGCTCCCTGAGGACTCGTGGAGGTCGGGGGAGGTCCCGGATGATCGGGGAAAGGGAACAGAGCGCTCAACTTTAAGAAAAGGAAGGAAGAGGGTCCGTGGAGTTAGACCAGTCAGTCTGACCTGGAAAGACCATGGAGCAGATCCTCAAGGAAGCACCTAGAGGAGAACAAGGTGATCAGGAGCAGCCAGCATGGATCCACCAAGGGCAAGTCATGCCCGACCAACCTGATTTCTTTCTATGGTAAGGTGACAGGCTCTGTGAATGGAGGGACAGCAATGGATGTGATATATCTTGACTTTAGCAAGGCTTTTGGCCCCATCTCCCATGACACTCATTAGCAAGCTAAGGAAATACAGACGAAAGTACTGGAAGATGGAGCGAGAACTGGTTGGATCATCATGTTCAACGAGTAGTCATCAATGGCTCAACATCTACTTGGGAGGAGGTATCAAGTGGGGGTCCCCAGGGGTCTGTCCTGGTCCTGGACCTCTTCAACATCTTCATTAATGATCTGGATGATGGACTTGGGTCCACGCTTAGCAATTCTGCAGATGGCACCAGGTGAGGTGGAGCTGCAGATACAGGGCTAGGGTCCAGGATGACCTGGATACAGTGGAAAAACGGTGTGCGATCAGATGAGATTCAACAAGGACAAGTGCAAAGCCCTGCACTCGGGACAGGAGAGTTGCATGCACAAATACAGACGGGGGAAAGACTGGCTGGGCTGCAGTGCTGCAGAGAAGGCCCCAGGCACTACGGTGGGCCATGAACCGGTGTCAGCCAACAGCGAGCTCTTGTTGCAAAAAAGACCACCGGTACGCTGGGTTGTGCAACGCACAGGAGTCTTGCGTGCAAACCCAGGGAAGTGATTCTTCCGCTGTATTCAGCACCTCACCTGCAGCACCGTGTCCAGCTCTGGGCCCCGCACCTCCAGGATGTGGACAGGTTGGAAAGCATCCAGCAAAGAGTGACAAAAATGATCAGGGGAAGGAAGACTGAGGAGCAAAAGCTGAAAGAGCCAGGGTTATGTAGGCTGGAGAAGGGCAGGCTTTTGGGGAGGGGGGAGGGTTGACAACAGTCTTCAAATACCTGAAGGGTAGCTGCGGGGAGGACGGAGATGGGCTTTTCTCTGTGGCTGCAGGGGACGGGACTAGGAGGAAAAGCCTCAAGCTGCAGCAGGGAAAATGTAAGGGTGGAGATGAGGAGGAGCGGTCCGACCACGAGGGTGGTCAAGCATGAGAACAGGCTGGACGTTTTCCCGAGCGCCTCGGACAGACCCTTGGCTGAGCTGGTTCAGGCAGGAACGTCCCGCCGTGAGCAGGGGCTGGACGAGACGACTTTGCGAGGTCCCTTCCAGCCCGACTTTCCTATACCGGCACCACTCCCCAGCCCAGACACGGGCCTCTACACCCACCCGGACGCAGGATCCAGCCCCGCGGAGCCCCCCAGCCCATTGTGGGGACATCTGGAAAGAAACCCTGGGACCCTCCAAGCTGGGAGAGGTCTGGCTGGCCTTTCCTGTTGGGCTCTGCCTCGGCCACGTCCCGCAGCATCCAGGGGCGCCTGTGCGAGCTCCCCGCAGCAGAGCCCAGAAGAGGGGTCCCGTGCAGACCCCAGACCCCTCCCCAGTGCCCGGGGCCCTTACTCTGCAGCTTGCCCGTCCTCCTGCTTGATCTTCTCCTCCACCGCCTGCAGCGCGGCCGCCGGCGAGGCGCTGGTCTCCTCCAGCTTCTGGTGCGCCATCTCGGTGCTGGCGCTCTCCACCGACGGCCCTGCGATGGAGGAGCGCGGCGGCTTGACGGGCACCTGCTGCGGCTGCCCGCCGGGCGAGAGGGGCTTGGCAGGGCTGGAGCAGAGCGAGGGCGGCGTGCTGGAAGGCTTGGCCGTGGGGGCGAGCTGCTTGGCGGGCGACGGGGCG